GAGGAGTGGCTGGTGGGTTTGAACCGCCAGCCGTCTGGTTAGCAGGCAAGTGTCTTAGCCACTATGCTACCAGAGCTCCCAAAGCAGAGTCGCTATGAGTTGCAATCAACTCGATGGCAGTAAGTTAGTTTCAAAGCAAGTTCTGGTTTCACACTTGCCTCTACCACCCCCTTGTGACTGGTTTGGGTTTCACATCTCCCTAAAGGAACTCACATTTGGTTAAGTCTTTACCAGTCTATAATTTTCTTCTTCTTCCTTCCTTTGGCATAGTAGTTAAAGCACTTGGCTGCTAACCAAAAGGTTGGTTGGAACCAACTGTTCTGCAGGAGAAAAATGAGGCAGCCTGCCTCTGTAAAGGTTTACAGCCTTGGAAACCTTATGAGGCAATTCTACTCTGCCCTAGAAAGGGTCACTATGAGTTGGACTCAATGGCACTGAGTTTGACTTAGTTTGGTTCTTTCTTTTGGGTTGTGCCACCCTTAAAGACAGACAGCAAACTAACAGGAAAGAGTCGGTGAACATTTTGTGCTGGGGGGTAGGTCACAGTTCATACCTTTTATTTATTCAGGACTCCGGTTGTCAAAGATTTCCCACTGCTCTCTCTTGGCACCCCATCACCAGCTGTTCCTGCCACTTCCATGCGTCATTTAAAGAACTAAAATGAACTGGTGGGTGGGGTGAGGTTGTAGGGAAAACTGACTCTGCCCCTTCAAGTCTGTGCCTCCTACGCCCCACCTGACCCAAAGGCCCTCTGCAACTCACTCTCACACAAACCTGCACACAACCAGAACAGTTTCTTCCTTTTTCTTCATTCAATTGTAAGCATATCTCTCTGAGATCAACAGAAAGCTGATAGCTAGACCAGAAAGACTTCACCTCTCCACAACTCTTGGTCACCTGAGATACACATCACCCGTGGACCATGGTCCCTAATTTTCCCTCCCACCAGGAGTGATGAAATAGTGTGCTTCCCTCCCTCCCATTCAACGGCAGCACATTAGATCTGCGACTCATTATTTTTTCTTTGCTAAAAGAAAAAAGCATTTACGTTTTGTTGGAATTAGCTTTTTCCTGATTTCCAGAGAAGGAATATCTCTTCTGAAACAACTATTTCTATTTCTTCATTTTCTCCTAGCATGTGAGACAACTGCTCATCTCTTCATTTCCCCTCCCCTCAGCCACTAATCAGGAGCTCTGGTAGTGTAGTGCCTAAGGCACTTGACTGCTAACCAGAAGGTTGG